AAACTTCTGGATCCCTCCTGCGTCGGTTTTTCTTGAGTCGAACTAGCTAACGTTTCGATAATCATCTTGTTAGCTTCTTCAGAGGTGACAGGTAGAGACTTGAGTCGCGGTTAAGATTGTTAGGTTGCTTATAGATTTCCATAGCTCTCCGATTTTTCGTTGGTAGAAGAATTAATTACATTCAAGAATTTTACTTTTATCGAATAAAATTGTATGTGCCGTTTCATGATTGTGTTCGGTAACTGCTGATGAGTTTATTTCTCTTAGTCTTAAGGCTCTTTTATATTCTTTGAGCCTAGTTGGCATCTCAAATGGAATATTGTCTTTGACGGATCGAAGAAGTTGAGAGATTTTTGGTTGGACAAGTGGTAAATCTGGTTTTAACGTTATATACCTTTAGAACTTTTGATATGTGGTCAGTGGTGTTTTGTATAAGGAACTACAACTGTGGCAAGTGTGGGATTGCTTTCGGCTTCATTGCTATTGGAAGGTTGTGGTGAAGTGTATTTTGTGATGGATCTTTAATGTGGAAATTATTAGAGAGAAGAGCAAAGATAAGGTGTTTTAATTCTGGGTTTACAGAAAACCTACACATACAGACCGATACCTTATTGCATTGTCATATCACCATCTGGTTCAAAAATCATCCGTTATCAACTCTCTTGTTTACGGAACCGTCAAACTAGCTCAGCCCGAGTCAGGGAACCCAGAATTAAAACATCTTACCTCTGCTCTTCTCTCTTATAATTCCCACATTAGAAATATTAAGCGTTTCATCAAAAAATACACTTCACCACAACCTTCCATTTGAGATGCCAGGAATTTAAAGCATTCCATGCATATGTGGCAAAGAATACATTGGAAAGAGCCTTAATACTAAGACAAATAAACTCATCAGCAGTTACAGAACACAATCACGAAACCGGACATAAAATTTTATTCGATAAAACCAAAATTCTTGTATGCAATCTACTCTACCAACGAAAAATCCGAGAGTCTCTACCTGTCACCTCTGAAGAAGCCAACAAGATGATTATCGAAACGTTAGCTAGTTCGACTCAAGAAAAACCGACGCAGGAGGGATCCAGAAGTTTTATAAAAATTATACAGGGTTGGTCAAAATCAATTATTTGCCAACCAGATACAAAAATGGTCACATCATGCGGTTGCTGAAATAAAAGCAAGTTTATAATGCTGTTTTGATGAATTTAATGAAGCGAATCCCAATTTACAACACATGAAGAAGAGAAAATTTGCCAAAATGACGTGAGACCAGGCGATCTTGCTAGCCGATCGCACTGCCTCAAACTTCGAGACCAACGGTCATTAAACAATTCGCAAAATTCTTGTGACACCTCTTCAGTGCATTGAACCGATGCCCCATACAGTTGACACAAAGAGGTGCGAAGTTCGTAAAGAAGATTCTCGAGAAAAATCATTTACCACTATTCTTAATATTTACAGGTACTTTGCAGCATTTAATGGTTCATCGTAATTTAAATAACTTACTTCATTATCTTTTAACAAGCAAAATACATTCAAACTAAATTCCTTCAATGGAAAATACCCTCTTCTGAAAATTTTGCTTTCTCGTTCCAATAAGTAATACAAAACACAACAAAAATGTTGGAAATTTTAATAACATTCGCCTTGATCAAAAAGAAAAAAGAATTATATCTGATCTTTATTGGAACCGGGGAGCTTCAGTTCAGGTAGAAGAAGAATTTACCGAAGAATAAAGTTCCAAAGATGTGTGAGAGAGGGTTGTGTATTCTTCCCAGTATTGTTTGACTCCGAATTTATAATGACTGAAGCCTTGTTGGAATAAAGAAGACGAATATAACATATAAACGAAGTACCTGTAAACAACATTTCGTATGCGGGGGTGACTATGCTAAAGATCTACAGTGGATGCGACGGTCTAACAATAGACACGAAAAAGACTAAATGTATGGCTCTTAGTAAGCATGAAACTAAAAATGTTTATTAAAACTCCGAAATGAATATATTGAACTTTAAAACTATATCGGATGTTGCTTAAACTAGAAATAGGACAGCGAACAAGATATAAGAATTCGCATGGAAAAAACCAGAAATGCATTTATTAGGATGAGACAACTCCTGTCCTATCGACAACTAAAATGAACTTTATTCGATCGACGCTGTCAGCAGTGCGAGGCATTTGAGAAGTGGGTTTACCGCAGAATGCTGAAAATCTGCTGTACCGACGAGTTCCAAACACACTAGTCTTAACACGCATAAAAAACAACTACCGGAGTGCTAAAAACTACAAAAAGCCGTAAACTTCAATATGTCGCTCATAAAATGAGGGAACTTACTTGGAATCTTAAAGGTGCTGAATATTGATAACAACAATAGAAGGATTATTTTTAACCTTTACTGGGGTTAAAGAATAGAAATAATATATTCACTATCGGACGAAGTAAGAATATTAAAAGAAGTTAGGCAAAGCTGAATCCCCTCTCGAATATTGTTTAATATTTAATCAAACACGTTTTTCATGAGGCGTCCTTGGTGACCCAGCAGGAATCATAGTCAATAGGAAGGATACCTATACAAAATATAAGGCATACAGATGATAGAGCAGATACAGTTCTCATAGCAAGCACACAGAGAATAGTTATTAAAGTAACTACCGTGAATGAACAATACGACTTTGAGAATAACATAAACAAAACAAAACTGAAGGTTACTTCCAAAAATAAAATGATTAACATACAAACAATTATCCATCATTATAGACGATAAGCTGATAAGCTCCCGATCTATCTCGTGAACCACCATTCCGGATGGCCCACTGTTATGTCTTCCCTATTCTACTTTATAGTACTCAAGGCTGAACACTTCATTAAGACACAAGCAAATGAATACAATGCTTCGAAATGTGATTGTAGAGACGCGCTCTTTCGATTTCGACCAAAAACGAATAGGTTCTGCAAAAAATAACGAAAGAGTTGGAAATTCTTGAGTCAATTAAGAAGAAAAAATTGGAATTTCTTGACGACATTTCCCGCAATAAGACTCATAATGCGAGGTAAAATTGTGGGACGGAGATGCATTGGAAGACGTGTAATTTTCTGATTGAAGAACCTTCGCCAATCGTTTGTGCCTTCAAGTACTCCACTATTTAGAACAGCGGCTTCTATACTTAAAATAACCATGATTATCAGCAACCTGTCAAGGACACTCAATTCAATTCAAAAAGGTTCGATTGCGTCCACCTCTGCGACTAGAGAAATTAATAACATTATCATCAAAGCAAAAGCAAAAGCAAATAAGAAAATTGCCGAAGTAAAAATATTAATCGAGAAACATATCCTAGTCACATTAATAAAACAGAACATGGTAAAAAGACACCATTGTGATACAATGTTTTTTAACCAAAAACGGCAATGTGTAGGTCAGATCTGCCTTCAGTCCGAGTTTGCTAGAAAGGAAATAAATTCGTAAAGAATCTGACAGAATAAACAGACTTCAAACCTAAGAAATCTGAGAGACAACACTACAGGCATGAGCACAGATAGGTAAAAGTAAAAATATTGCTAAACATTTTCGAGATGCGGCTACAGTGCAAACGATGGTAACTACATTAGCCTGTAGAATTGGAAACAGAAAAAAACAATACAAAGATGCCCTGTTTCATTCGGCAGCCCAAGGCATAGCAGAATAGGCAATAGTAATAAAATAAAAATATATATAACCGAATAGCATAACTAAACTGACTTTAACGAGAACAAAACAAACCAAACTTGCTCAAAAATAGCACTAAAAGAAATTAAACAAAATTGAAACATCTGGAAGAAAGGGACCAGAAAAATATTTCCAAGATAGAGAGCGGAATGTGAAACTGATATCCAACAAAGCACATTGAAGGAAACTCTAGAAAAAAATAAAATCTTACAGACCGCTGAAGCCCTTATAGAAGAAAATCCAAAATTACAAAAACTTCTAGAAAAAAAGCAACTAAAATGAGAAAGTTTTTAACCAGAAAAGACTGTAGCAATAATCGTATGCATAACTGGATATTGCTCAACTCAAACCAACATTTTTGGATGGTTTGTTGCGTCTGTTATATACAGTTTCCACTCGTATGTTAGACCCTTATTCTTTATCTTTTGTTGCAATAAAGGTGATTTTTTTTCAAAACATAAATGTAATTTTTCGCTGTCTGGCAGCTATACAAACAACCGAAATCAATCCACTCAGGGCAGCGTTGATGGCCTAAAAAGAGCCCTTCTTAAACACTTCAAGTGGGAACAAAATACGTTCAGTCATTCTGAAGTTATTGACATTCATTCCCAAAAATGTTGAGACACCTCATTATTTTCTCATAAGAAGTAGGGCAAAAACTATTCTACAAAAGAGATTCGAATTTGTCCGTTTTAGTCTGTATTATAAGATTCCATTCCAGAAATTGAAAATTAATTTCCAACATTTTCTTTTGGCAGCTTTAGTGATAAGCTCTTTCACCCCATGTCTTTTGTGACAATTACTTTTCGAAATAGGTCCAAGTGTCTTCCTTGATTGGTCACCCACATTTGAGGTTATATAACTTATCGATTGCCATGACCAAAATATTCCATAAAAATATTCGCGATCACAAGGAAAAGTGAGATTTTAAAATAAGAAGGTTTTCCGATTTTAAGATGTTTCAGATAACATTCTTAATAGAAAATATTTTGAGCTCATCAACACGCAATTTCAGATTATAAAAAAGTTGATTTTTTTAGCTCTCATCATCAGTCGATAAAAAAACTACACGTCAACGCTTTATCGTCTGCTTCCAATTTATGCAATAGAGCGGGAGCGCAATTTGCAGAGAATGCCACACGTTAGAATTCCCATTTATCAGACTCTGTTTATGGAGCCAGTTATCCTTATACCCGGAGAATCTTAGAGGCGGGAACTATCGGCGCGCCAGCGGCGTGCGTTCTCATTTCCGTTAAACAAAACTCGACTAAACGAAACCCAGAGTATAATCAAAGTCGTAACCATTTCTTAATGGTGCTGACGATCGCGTTTCTAGCCTCGATGACGTCATGCGAGTCAGTCGCGTGGGCCCCTCTCAAATCGTAGTGGTGCACCGCGTCCGGAATCAAAATTGACAGTACCGTCTCCGAAATATTGCTCAGTACTCCCCCACTCGACCACGGATCCATTAAGCCGTTGGTAAACAGGATGTTGGAGGCGTAACGTAGATTCCCCCCACCGTATTTGAGGTTTATCGAATCCGGTCTCGGGGATCCCACTCCGTATCTGCAATTTATTTTATTTGATGAACAAACTAGGAAAGAGTAGAAGAGCTGTCAAGGGTACCTTACACTCATCGTACACTTCTGGCATGAAATACACAAAAATCGTGTAATTTTAAAACTTAAAATATTAGTCAAAGAAGAAAAAAACAATTAAAACCAATTTCAATATTCTTGGTAGTGGAATTAGTCCGGCAAGTGTGTCCAATAAGGCTTTTAGAACAGAACTCGGAAGTGGAACCTTACTAAACATAAACAAACGCACTCTAGACTTTATATACTTTAAGATCCAAACTCATGAAAGCTATGGGAAGTTATTTGCCTCCATTTCGTCCCGTATATTAGTCGTACACAAAAACTCTGTGTTCTTTTAATATCCGTGGAACACAGATACTAAATTGCGTGACCAAGATTAAAATATAAAAAAATTAAAGTTTCACATAGCACAGACTTGGTTTTTTGTGACAATGAATGGCGATGCAAGTGTAATAATTTTAATATTGAAAATGCCTCCTTTAGACATGAAGTAATGTGTTTTTTAAATTTTAAATTCTCATGAATGATGAGGCCTAATTTTTTGCAAGAGTATTGATTACTTCCCAACTCTAAATTTTATATGATTTATATGTTATATGTACCTCACAAGCTTTTAAAAGGTCATCTAAGGCAACATTTAGCAGCCTATTAACAGTATTAAGCCGAGAGTAAGAGTAGGAGTTATAAATCTATGATTTTTACATTACTCAAGACAATTCACAAAATCCAAGCTGTATATGCTGTATAACAGGGGACCGAGAATACTTCCCTGAGGGACTGCCACTCTGAAAACTTAAAATATTAGTGAAAGTAAAAAAAATTAAAACCAATTTCAATTTTCTTGGTACAGGAATTAATCTGGCAAGTGTGTCCAATAAGGAATTTAAAACAGAACTCGGAAGTGGAACCCTACTAAACATAAACACACGCCCTATAGACTTTATATACTTGAAGATCCAAACTCTTCAAGGCTATGGGAAGTTATTTGCCTCCACATAATAGTTGTACACAAAAACTCTGCGTTATTTTAATATCAGTGGAATACAGATACTAAATTACGTGACCAGGACTAAAATATGTTAAAATTACATAGCACAGACTTAGTTTTTTGAGTCAATAATTTAAATATTGAAAATGCCCCCTTTAGACATGAAGTAATGTGTTTTTTAAATTTTAAATTCTCACCAATGATAAGACCTAATGTAATTGTATTGAGTATTGATTAGTTCCCAACTCTAAATTTTATATGTTTTATATGTTATATGTTCCTCACAAGATTTTCAAAGGTTATATAAGGCAGAATTTAGCAGCTTATTAACAGTATTAACGCGAGAGTGTGAGTAGGAGTTACAAATCTATGATTTTTACATTACTCAAAACAATTTACAATCCTGAGGGACTCCCACTCTAACCGGAACAATGTCTGACGAACTGTTATCGAAAAGCACCACCTGGTAGCTGTAGCTTAAAAATGATAATACTATTGAGACGGCACTTTTTCCGATGTAAATATAACCCCACCTTGTGGTGTATTCATTGTTCTGATTTTAGTTCTTTTTCCGCCAAATCTTAGCTTTACATTTGCAAAACCCAAAATTTCGCCAAGATCGATAGCCTGAATTACAAATAAAATATTATTACTAAATATTACTGCTCTATAGGTACTTCCAGCATCTGCAGAATTTTCAATTGCGTTTCATTTCAATATTATCAGTCGCTTGAAAAATTCTGGACTCACAAATTCTCCCCTGTGTAACACTTAATCAGATTATTTCTTATGAGCCGCTCTTATAAGCTCTAACATTGAGGTGACGTTGTTAAAAGACTGAGTGAAAATAATGCTACAGCTCAGCGCATAACTACTTGATTATACTAAACCATTTGATATGATTCATCCCGTTAGCTTAATAACAATCCAAAAAGTTCCCGGAATTTATTCAGAAAATTAAAAATACATTTATACGTTTATTCATCTAAATCTATATTGCCATATTCATAGTAATCCATGCATTATCTTGGTGCTCTGACTGTTCTTCAAAAATTCATGGTCTTATTTTTTGATTGAAAACGATGCGTTCTTTTTTTGCCTCAGCTCATTTGGTCCCCAGTAATGATGCTTTTGATGAATGTGGGATTCGATTTAGCCCCACGAATCGTCTATTTTGCCATGTCAACACGATGTCTTTTTTTCATGAAATTGAGGTTTTTTGGCATCAACTTTACTGCTAGAAGACGGAAACCCAAATCATTAACCAATATGTCTTGGGCGGATCCATAGGCAAGTCTTCCGCTATCTCTCTGATGGTTAATTTGCGATTATTATTGTTACGTTATCAATGTTTTCTTCGGTTTTCGATGTTGATGGTCTGCCACTGCGCTCATCATCTTAGTTTGACTTGCGACCACCGCTCGTTTTCTTTAGAGAATCATTTAAATCTATTTTTATAATTATAAAAAATCGCCAACACACATATAGATAGACGTATATTTATTTATGTATTTTTTGCAAATGAAAAGCTAAGATTTGACGGAAACGTCAACAACAGATGTACCAACTTAATAACAAAAGAGAAAAAAACTGCCTTCTCAATGGTATTATCATTTTTAACCTATAGCCGTCCGTTTTCGGGGTACATTTTTACAAAATAACACGAATACACTCAATGACATGACCATCAGGATTGACAAACGTCAAAATTCAAGCCGTGTGGTAAAATCTCCGAAGACATGCGATTCTTCCCAAACTCACGTGGTAAAGTGACGCTTCCCGCACGCTAGATCTGTGGTATAATTAAGTATTTTACAGAATTTTTTCAGAATATCTAAAAATGGATGGGTTCAGACAAAGTTGTTCTCAACGACAGTGGGTGCAGGAAGTAAGAACCATTTATAACTGTAAACGTAACGATAAAGAAAGTCTCGACCATACATAACGATTCCTCCAAGGGCACGTTGGTATATAGACTTTCAACGTCAAAGCTAATAAACTTGTCTGAAGGATCTAGTTTCACGTCTTTGTCGAGGCTAGACTAAGGAATGATACAACCCTATCAGAGAGAACTTCGCTGCCACTTGCGGGAGTGTTGGAGCTTCTGAGTTGCTGTCTGCATAATTCTTACTTTCAAGTCGAAGATAAGTTTTACGCACAAGATAATGGCCTGCCGATGGGTTCCTCTCTCTCTCTCCAGTGATAGCGAACATATACATGGAGTGGTTTGAAACTCATGCCATAAACAATGCAACTATTAAACCTAAGATCTGGCTTCGATATGTTGACGATACCTTCATTATCTGGAGTGCTTTTCGATAACAGCTTGTCAGACATAGTTCCAGTTAAACGTCGAATCCCTCAGGGTAGTATTCTCGGTCCCCTGTTATACAGCATATACAGCTGGGATTTTGTGAATTGTCTTGAGTAATGTAAAAATAGATTTATAACTCCTACTCTCACTCTCGCGTTAATACTGTTAATAAGCTGCTAAATGCTGCTTTTGATGACCTTTTAAAAGCTTGTGAGGAACATATAAAACATATAAAATTTAGAGTTGGGAAGTAATCAATACTCTTATCATTGATGAGAATTTAAAATTTAAAAAACAGATTACTTCATGTCTAAATGAGGCATTTTCAATATTTAAATTATTACACTCGCGTCGTCATTCATTGTCTGAAAAAACTAAGTCTCTTTATGTTATTATTCTGGAATACTTCTTATTATGGTATACTTAGTTATGGTTCGCAAGAGTGAAGTGAGCAAGACGCCGAGTTCCAATTTTCCTAACTTTGTTATTCCAATCTATAACATTTGTTCCCGCTAATGAAACTAAGCAATAACTAAAAACTAAAAAAAAGGAATAAATTGAAATTTAGGGATGTTATATAAATAAAGTATTTCTAAATTTTGGCAACTGAACAGCACATACCTACACACGCTATGTATTTGTACAATTTTGCATTCTTTGAGCGAATGCAAGTATCGATTTTCTAATAGTTTCAAGCAGTCATTTTTCCTCAGTCAAAAAACATACTTAAAATCAAAAAAATTAATGATATTTTTTATAGGAAATCATTTAGTAAAAGTTGAAAAAAATATTTTCGCTTTTACCGAAAGTACACTGAAAATTGAACTATGTAGTAGTTTATCGCAAACATTTCGAAAGGAAACCCTCCTGACCGACCCATTTTTATTATTTTATGCTCAATTTAGAATATTTTTTACGGCAAAGCGCTTTTATGTAGCTCGAATACTTTTTGAGATATTTGATGTTTAAATTTGACAGATAAACTAAAATCAGAGCGTGGGGCACTGGGCGGAAAATAAAAATTGAAAAAACAAACGAAACAAACATTGAGAGTAATAAATTAAAACAATTTCCAATTGTACGAAGGCATTTACCAAATTTAATAATACAGAAATATTTTTAATGTGTTTTTTGAGAAAACAATGTTAAATGACGGAATGTTGCCCATTCGCATGGAAACGCATAATACGTTCTTCGAATTCGAGCAAGCAATTTTCCATTTTTATTGGAGTGATGGCTCTTATGGTCTAATTAATATTATTTGTTAGGTCCGCCTCATTTTGGGGTGGCGATTTAATGTGAAACTTGTTGTGTTCCATGCGATACCTCAGTTAACTTAATCTACTTCCTACCTTCCATAACATTCCTTCGAGTAATTCCCCAAGTCCCATGTGGCTTCTTCAAACATGTCCCTCTCAGTAGAACACATTGGCATCACTAATTCGACGCACGCTTGGTAATCCCACGCGTACTGTACCGGATCGTTCGGGGTAGTGTCGTAGCGGTTGCAGCTTTTCCGTCCCGTGGCATTGGTATATACCTGCAAGGCTTCGGCGAGGGCGTCCAAGAGACCCGCAGTCTCGTTCACCTTCACGAAGCTCCTCATCTTGTCGCAGAAAGCTTTTACCGGATGCGCGGGCAATTCTGTCACGAAATTGGTCGGATACGGATAATTTACCATCGCCATGTCGACGTAGACGTCGCCCAACCAATCGATCATCTTGCTCAAGTCCAGTTCCGTTTTGAGGGGTTTGCAGAGTTTGAATATCGCGGATATGTTCCTCTTGCCGCTATCGCTGTTACTCAAATTGCGTAACAATCTCCAAGATTCCCCGATCCACGCGCTACAGTTGTCATACTTGGCGAAAGAGTTAGTCACGACTTGGTAGAAGAGATAGCAGGGCACCTGGTGCTGCAACACCGGAGCAGATGACGCTACCGCACCGATTACCGCGTGAGGGTATTTCATGCGGAGCCAAGCGGCCAACATTCCTCCGTAGGAACCCCCGAAAGCTACCACGGGGTAGGTATCGTCGGTAAGCATGGTGCGGTAGTACTTCCCAGTGATTTGGTCGATGACCAGGACAAAATCCGCGAGTGCTTGGGATGTCGTCAAATACCTCATGTTTGCGGCATTGCTAAACGTTGACGCTGCGAAGGGTAACGACGCCCCGTAGTACCTGTGCTCTGCGAACACCACTAGAGCATTAAAAACGGGCGCGATGTCGAAAAGAAAGCCGGTGTTTTCCACAAACACTTTCACGTCGGCTTCATTGCCGCAGTAAAAGAACGTTGGGCCGCCTTTAACGTAATCCTGTTCGTAGACGAGGTAGCGCAGCTTGAAGGTGCTTTTGGAGATACTGAAGTGGTCCAATGGCACTTCGAGGTACCGCTCATCGTACGTCGCGGCCAAACAGACCCCCAAAAGTAGTAGTAAAAGTATCCCGGACGTCATGACGCTTGTCGTCGACGTAGTCAACGTCAGTTTTGAGCATTGAGGTGGCGCCCTACTGCACTGCCCTCCGTCGAGGAAAACTAATGGGTCGGTCCCGGCGAGTGATTAACTACGCACCCCCGGGTCCACAGTGAGTGTGAAATCAGTCCGCCAAATTAAATCCCGCCTCAGATTATTACATACCTCAGTGACTGTTCATAAATATCAGCGGCCCGAGGACTGAGACCCGCACACCCCTTCCCCGTCCCGTATCGATTCGGAGCGAGACGGGAGGGGAACGTTTGAGTTTATCTGCGATTGGATTAAGCGAGTAAGAATTTGGACTACGAATTTTTTGAAAAAAGTTATGAGCGACAGAAGTCCTTATTGCAATGCATCAAAGGCAATGCACAAATTGTACCGAAAATTGCTCAACATTTTTGCTAAGTCGGCATAGGAAAGGTTAGTCAGGAAAAATAGCAGTCTAAATATTTGTAAAAATTATAAACCTAAAAATGTTATATAAGGAACAACAAACAAAGAACCCAACATGCTCATATGATGTGCAGACAGGTTATAAAAACAGTAAGATTTTAAATCGGTTTTAAATTTCCTTTGGTTTCCGTCTCTGATTTCACGTCTAATGGTTATTATATGAACTTTATTACAGAAAAAAATATATAAAGATGAAAATTATTAAGAACAAGCAATGGACATTTATTTACTTTTGGATAGTACGTTCAAAATTCGATTTTCACCTCTTCGTATTAAAAGATTTTTCTATAGTCCCTAGGAATTAAGTGCTAAATTGGTTATGAAAACTACATTCCTATCTCCAAAATACAGGAACAAATTTTCTATACCTTTCATTATTTCTCATAAAGCTCTAGTATTTTTAAATGTAATTATTGCGTATCTGATTTTAGGTCTAATGACCTAATCTTTATATGAATTTTATTAGAGATAGGAAAATCTAAATACGCAAATAATCAAGAAAAAGCAATTAAAATTTACATTTCGGTGGTATATTGAAAACAGATGTTGACCTCATGGTATTTATCTCCAAAGTGTAGAAACAAAACCAAACCTTCTATATACCTAATAAGGCCTTAGAATTTCTTTATTTTAATGTTAATCTTTTCGGCTACGTTAATGTTAGATAAGGCAACTCAAATACCCAGAACTAAACGAGTGAATTAAAAGTTGAACAAGTCCTCTTTAAAGATTCCTTGGAACTTTTTGGGGGGAAAATTGATGACTTTACTGCCCAGATGGAAACTGTAAAAAAGATGCCTCAGGGGATTAATAACATAACAGGTAAAACTAAATGTAGCTCTTGGAGATCAGAACTGGAGTGGATGAAGCAACATGACAGAAATGTTAACTTGGAAATATGTGGGGTTCCGGATGTAAAGGGTGAAAACGTTGCAGACATTGTTAAAAAAATTGGGGAGGCCCTTCAAATTGAACACAGCTTCTTTCAGCGTTTTGCTCGTAAACCATATACATATATTCTTCATTAATTCATTGTTAAATTATTTTCTATGTCTATCTTCCACCCAACACTCATAAATGATATTGGAGAATAAACAGAGTTCTCAGAGCAAACAGAAAAATTAGTCCAACGCCGCTTTTTGCTTTGATTGTCCCTAGAATTATAAAGTGAAGAAAAAATGAATACAATTGAAATTAAAAGATACATACATATATAAAATATAATAAGTAAATAAATAAAATATAAAGGGTTAGTGGGAATTTTTATACCTGTGAATCAACACTTAAGGTCGATTCGAATGAAACATAACTATTTAATCACCAATAGAGCACATTGTTGTACAACGCAAACCAATTTTCACGCAGCTGGATCGCAGCTACCACACAAAAGCAAATCAAATAATAATCGAATCAGGCGCTTTTGAGCCACTAAGAATCGATCTGCGTCCGGCGTATAATCCGTATGCATAATAGACAGATTAGATCTACTGAGTGAATTTTTTAATGATTTTTTCATTTAGCAGCATTTATATAATTTGTAACAAACAATATCTATTTGTGTATCCAAGTTAAAAAAAAATACTATTTAAGTAAAGGGGAAAAATACGTCAGTAACATCAGTAGTAGATATCACAATGGATAGTAGTAACGACATTACAACTTGCCTTTATTAGACAAAAGTTCGAGAAGCTTCACTGACAGCATATTCTTCTAATGCTTACTGAATTTCTTATATCATTGTGACTTGCAGGAAATGAAAAAATTTACAAATTAAAGGTCACCGCCACCACCAAGCTTGCTGAAGCAATCATCTTCTTCCACTAATTTAATTAAAATAGTACCGACAAACATGTTTCAAAAACCGCCCTCAGCATTAAAATCTGCAATAAATACAGTTGTTGGGAAACCATCCCAACAGCTAATAAGTTAATATAAACAATTTCGAATATATACACTGTATACGTGCCTGAAAATATAACACAACCTGGCAACTCTTCAAACATATGCTCTTATCTTGGCCGAAACCCGTAGCTTTTCCCACAGGGGTGGTAGTATAACTCGGGTCTAAGAATTAATTAACCACTTCACTTCTTAATTTTCTCCTGTGTCTCTATCAATTCGAATATCTCAAAAAGTACATTGAACTTAAATAAAATTCTATTGTTTGCTTGTTGACTGTACAATTTCGCGTGAATTAAATAAGCTTTTGTTTGTAACCCGACCGTTACATGATGAAATCTTTGCAAAATAGTGCAGAGACATCTGTTGCTGCAGACTGGAATGTGCAGAGTTCATTCTTTTCCGTCCGCTTATCAAAAATCCTTAATTTTACCAAAACATTGAATTTAATTAAAAGGTGTTCTAGGTAAAGTGTCTTAAGGAGAGAACCAGGTCTTTTTGAATAGTGTTTGTTCTAATGACATTTCTTCATATATTGTAAAGAAAATAATAAAATAATTTTTTTTTGGTTAGTGAAGTTTAGTTACTGAAGAATAAATTAATGAACCAAAATTTCATAACATACCAAAATTCGTAAATTTTTTAACCCCATTTTGTTGGTGCGTATAATCGTAGCCGCCATATTTTCAATTTATTTATTTCATTGAAACAACTAAAATCTATTTCAGAAAAGTTTACAGTGATAAAACCTCATTAGGTATTCAATAGAACTACAGAGTGACCCTACCCAACAAAATGTTTGTTATTATTAATTATTTGTATTCACTAACACTGGACGGTAGGATAATCGTAAAAAGCAAAGAATTTTTTCTACTCCCGTCTGTAAAATACCTAATACACACCGATCTAGCGTGCGGTAAGGGTCACTTTACCGCGTCAGTTTCGTTTCCCACGGATCCGAGCCACTTCGGACATTTCCGGGATTTTACCGCACGGGTTTGGGAGCAATCGGATGTTTTCGGAGATATTTCCCACGCTTTGAATTTTGACGTTTGTCAATTCTGAAGGTCATGTCAGTGAATGTATTCGTGGTGTTTTGCGAAAATGTACCCAAAAACTAACGCTCGTAGAAATAGTATATTATGCGGTAAACGGCATTTGATTCATGAGTTTAGTTGACACGAGCGGAGCGCAGCGAAGTGACTTGAAAGATTTTCCGAACGTGTTGCATACTACGACCGTCAGTTTTTGGGTACATTTTCGGAAAACAACAAGAATACATTCACTGACATGGCCGACAGAATTGACAAACGTCAGAATTCAAGGCGTGGGAAATATCTCCGAAAATATTCGATTGCTCCCAAAGCCGTGCGGTAAATATCCCGGAAATGTCCGTAGTGGCTCATATCCGTGGGAAACGAAGCTAACGTGGTAAAGTGACATTTCCCGCACGCTAAATCAGTGCGCAATAAGGTATTTTACAGACGAGGGTAGAAAAAAGTATAGTATGCCACAAGTTCGGTAAACTTTTTAAGTCACTCGTTTATTAAACACTCGCTCCGCTCGTGTCAAATAAACTCGTGAGTCAAATACCGTTTACCGCATTTGTTGGATAATATGCTATTATTATTACTAAATTTCCTTAAAAAAATAAAATAGTGTCGATATAACAAACACAGTTTTTAAGTACAGTTATTTATATATAGTTATAATATACTATTATTACAAAAGAATAAAAAATAATGAAAAAAAAAGCTTGGCTTGCACGGGCTATGCTCATTTCATAACCTTCCTTCTGTACGGGCTTATACTTTTCAAGTATTTTCGTCGCCAGCAAACAATATCATCGTTTTCCAGTAAAAGTACTTTTTCTACTCCCTTCTGTAAAATACATAATTATACACTGTGGAAAACGTTGCTTTACCACGTGAGTTTCGTGTTCCATGGATCCCAGTCACTTCGGACATTTCCTACATATTACCACAAGGTTTGGGGGAATCGGATGTTTTCTGAGGGTCATGTCAGTGAATGTTTTCATCTTGTTTTGCCAAAATGTACCCAAAAAGTAACGATCGTAGAAAAAGTATAGTATGCGTCACGAGTTTATTTGGCTCCAGCAGAGCGAGTGTTTAATAAACGTTTACCGCCGTTTAACGCACTTGGTGCATAATATGCTATTACGGTTACGTTATTCCAGGCAAAATCAATATTTTTGAAAGTGGTTCATATAGGTTGTCTAGCCTGCAGCGGAAAAAATAAATAATAAATTTTTATCCAAGGATGATTCTTTCGCGAAGTAAAAAGATTTAACTTTTCTTCGAATTGCACTTTTCATGTCTTCATCACTCCAGCACTTTGCTTGGGAGGCGCACTTGGTTGCTGTCTTTTTAACCTGCAATAATTGAACAGATTCTTGTACAGTAAAATTCGGGTAATGAATTTTATAATATTATGTACATTTAAAATACTCACTCACTGGTAGTGGAGGATTATTATAATTTTTAATATATTTTCCTTGGCGTGAATGTCGCAGCTTTATTCCGAATCTTACAACACCGTGAGCACTAGGCCTAACAGGAAGTAGTGATGCGCTAAACTAAATGAATATACTTATAAATGCGATACTG